GGGGCGGCCGCTGCCCGCTGCGGGGCACCCGGCTCCCCTCAGGGCGGGCTCCCCCCGGTCTGCCCGACCCCTGCCTTGCTTCCCAGTTGTCTTCATCCATTTTCTCCCCCCAGCCCTGGGCTTTTCCAGCTCAAATCTGGAAGGAAAGGCTCTGGGGAGATGTGTGTCCCCTCCGTACTTGCTCCCTGTACGTTTTCGCGAACATTTGGCAGAATTTTGCCAACCGTCAGCTCCCGGGGGGTGTTGGGGGAAGTGGCCTTGGCCTAAAAGCTGGAGCCCCGCTGCATCGTTCAACAGCTTGGTCCAAATAAACGAGGGTGCCCATGAAATCCAAGTGTTTTAAGCACGCTGCGAGCTTGTTATTTCCCCTGGAAGTAACTCATCGTGGCTGCAGGGCAGCTCCTCGCCGGGTTGAAACCCTAAACGGGGTTCCTTTAATTACAAGCAACTTTCCTGGCGGCGTGAGGCAGCCGGCACGCCGCTGTCAAGTGGGATTTGGGTGTGAAGGCACAGGAGAGCCCCTTACTCGTGCATTTCTCTCCTTTTTTTCTCTGTTGGGCATTACTTGGAGCCGTTTCCCTCCTTTCGATCAGGGAAATCACAGACTCCAGTCTTTCCGTGCCACCTTTATAAGCTTCGATCTCTCCGTGCGGCAGCCCAGGGCAGGAAGGACAGGAGGGAGAGGGAATCTTTCCAAGGCAAGGGGAAAGTTTTGCCCTTGGACAGTGGCCGGACCCTCCCTAAGGCTTGATAAATGACTTGGCTGGGTGAGTGCAGGAAAACAAGGCTCTTACGTGACTTACACCAGCTCCTCTGGGCTTTCCTGAGCGGTAAACACTCCCCGTGTGTGCGATCCCGTTGTCTTCTCTAGCCCGTGCGTTTTTGGGGGACTATTCTTGGCGTCCGCAAACACGGGTCAGCCCTGTTGGCGTATTTGTGTGTTTATTTCAAAAAACGTTGGGGTTTTCTTCCCCCTCCCTGTCCCAATGAAGCGCTTGTCTGCAGTTTAATGGGGATGCATCATCTCCTCGAGCACGTGTGGCTCCTTGCGCGGCCGCGGCCGGGTTTGCGAGCTGCAGAGCCGTGCACGGAGAGCGGTGTTTCCCTGAACCACAAGTGATGCAGAGCCCTGTCCCGAGCCGAATTTCACAGCTCGGGTTTAGAGCGAGCAGCTTGAAGGAAGGGAAAAAAAAAAGCAGCTCAAAGTAATCTCGGGTCTGAAGCGTGTGTTAAATATTTGCTTGCAGGATTTATGTCAGTAGTGCTACAGAAACGCCACTTGGACATGGGGTACGGGGCTCCCTCCTCGGCTGCGTTGTCTTTCTGCGTCGTGAGGGGTCTGCAACCCCCGTGCCTTTCTCTTTAGCTCCCTGAGCACGTTTTAAGTCATTTTTCTGGGACAGACTCCAGGCGTTTTTGGAAGTAACTTCTTGTTTTTGCCGTTTCCACGTCACCTGTTTCTTCGAAGGGAGGCTTTGGAGCCTTGGCGCTTCGTTAGGAGCCGCATTACTTATGTAAATGATTTCCTGGATAGGCAGCGCGGGTGCACGTGGCCAAGGCCCTTCCTTGAAAGCCGCTCTTCAGCGGCAGAG